GTATTGATCATATCTTCACCCTCCGACAGATTCTAGAACATAGGCATTCCTACCGGCGTCCAACAGTCATTATATTTCTTGACCTAAAGGCAGCATTCGACTCTGTCGATCGGGAAGTTCTCTGGAGATGCTTGGCTGTAAAGGGAATTCCGAGAAAATATATTGCACTGATTAAGGCACTCTATTCGTACTCATACAGCCAGGTGAGGGCTTACGGCGAGCTGTCATCTGAACTGATGACGACCAGTGGTGTCCGTCAAGGATGCCCATTATCTCCTTTTCTATTCAACTTCATCATAGATGTGTTAATGGACTTAACCCTAGGTGACTTCAGCGACTCAGGGATTGACTTGCTACCTGGGAATAATCTCGTTGACTTGGAATATGCAGACGATATAGTCCTTCTAGGCGAAGACGCTGACGAAATGCAGAGTCTTCTAAACACCTTGAACCGCAATCTACGAATGTTTGGCATGCGATTCGCTCCCGCCAAATGCAAGATGATGTTACAGGACTGGACTACATCGACGCCTAGTTTAAAAATAGGAAGTGAAGTGGTAGAGCACGTTGACCGCTTCACTTATTTGGGAAGTACCATCAGCCCCAACGGGCTGATCTCTGACGAAATCTCAGCACGAATACAAGGGGCTCGTTTCGCATTTGTTAGTTTACGCCGACTCTGGCGTAGACGAGATGTTCGACTATCGACCAAAGGGCGGGTGTACTGCTCATCAGTCCGCTCCGTCCTCCTTTATGGTTGTGAGACCTGGCCACTGAGAGTGGAAGACATGAAAAGACTAGCTGTCTTTGATCATAGGTGCCTGCGTTCTATTTCCCGTGTAAAGTGGCATAATAAGGTGAGCAACATGGAGGTTAGGCGTAGAGTTCTAGGTAAACAGGGGAAATCAATCGACGAAGTCGTGAAGCTACAAAGACTGAGATGGTTAGGACATGTGTTACGTATGCCAAGCCATCGCCTCCCTCGACGAGCAATGTTAGCGGATATAGGGTCAGGCTGGAAAAAAGCTAGCGGCGGTCAAACAAAAACTTGGCATCAGTCAATGAAATCCACAACAGTTGGTCTAAGCCACGTAGGAAGGTGTAGACTTCCAGGCTGGGGTCCTCGGGACGGTAAAAATCTATGGTTGGAAACAATTGGTGACATGGCTCAAAATCGTTCTCAGTGGCGCAGATGCATCCACTCCCTGTGACTTATGATCTCCAATGAAACTGTTTTGTATTTCTTTATTACTCCTTTGTCTCACACCTCTGCTCACTGTTTCTATTATGCTTTTCTTGTACTTTCTTCTCTTGCTTCGCGTGCTACACGGAATGTGGCGACTTGAACTTCCGCACATTTGTGCAAAGTTCTATGTCGAAAACAGACAGACAGACAGACTTTTCACAACTACAAAAGGGACAGAGAATATCATTAAGCAAATCATCCGTTATACCTGGTTAGAGAATAACAAATGTCATACACACGCGCAATATCTGCGCTGAAACTTCGTCAAAAAAATTTTTTAATGGAGTTGACCAGCTAGGTAGTTAGTGTTAAGACGGTATGTTTAGAAAATGAACATCCATAGTCTGGATATTCATGACTAACCTATAACAGTGGTTTCAGGTGACGTCAAACAGCAACGCGAAATGCAAACTTTCGAATACAACGGCTTTTAATTAAAAGTACTTCTTGTGAAGAATGATTACAATCAAGGCGAATCAACATTGTTGTTCAGATATATGTGCGATTGGCACGTCCGAATGTGATAGGGTGAAGTGTGTCGGCCGACGCAACGCAGTAACAACATTATGCTCCTTACAGTAACACAGGGGCAATACTTGTTTAGGAGGATTAATATTACATGGTTTCCCAAACATTGTAGGCAAAGGGTTGTTTAAATTCAGTCCATCGAGCATATATACCTAAAATCTTCCCTTTGGAAGACCACTAACAACCACTCTCTCGTTTCATCTGAAAATTAGTGCACCGGGGTTATTTACAAGATGTAGGAGTCTTTACCACTTCAATACAAAATTTCCTTCTAATATACTGCGCCACATTACATTAAGGGACAGACGTGAATACAAGCAGAAGTCCTGGAAGTGGAAATATATTGTGATAAGAATAATCCGGTTATTCAATTTCGATGTTCATCCATAACTTTGGAGAACTATCAGCAAAACAATATTGTTAGTCTTCTGCTGTAAAAATACTGACATGGCCGGTGCAGAAATTTGATTTTAAAAACCTGTAGTCGAAACGAGAACAAAATCTATGTCCAATCGAGATCTACATTCGTCCCCTGAAGTAGTCCAAAAGCAACGTCAGTAAGATGATCTGTCAAACAAGCAGAGTAGTGTCAAGAAAATAAACCAGTGTGTTAAGACGGAAGTAATTGACTACAAATATATTTCTCCAGGCGGAAGTTCGGAACAAACTTGGTGGTTAAACAGTATATTATCTTGAGCACAAATGATTTACCACCGTTTCTCCTAAAGCAACTAGATGACTGTTTATTCTAGTAGTTTATGGTGCAACTCGATAGTTGTTATAGGAATGAGTACACTACTGAGTCATAGCTGTGCATCAAACAAAGTACACCACATCAAAAAAATCAAATATTCTCTCATAAAATTAGAGAAATGAGATGCTAAGGAAAAGGATTCACATGTTATTAACTTACATAGCATTCAGATCGTAAGCTATTGCCTCGTTGGAAAATACAGTCCATGCATTGGTTGTCCAAACTATGCCGTATACACTAGAGTACTCTCGAAAGTTTTAAATTTAATCAAAATGAAATGTACTTACTACCAGTATTCTTCTCCACACGGTTACTGTACCTTGTTAAATTGACTTTGAAGTAAATAGAGGAACTTTTGTGTTCAGAATTGTATTCTAGCTCGGATTCAGCTATTGCACACCTTAGTAGTATGTATTAAGAAGTACTGAATAATTACTTCGTATCTGTTGACCAATAAACAGGTAAAGAGCTCTGGTAAATGAAACCCTTTTAGAAAAAGTTAGAACTAAAATAAATCAATGCCTTTGAATGTAAATCTGAAAACGCTTGAAGTTCAACTGCTTGAAAACATTTGTCCATAGTACGATAGTATCCAGCCCAGGACCCTATAACACCCCATTCTTGAAACGAATTCTTCTGTATTCCAACGAATTTCTGGGCTAATAGTGAAGCTAAAAGCATAAATATAACGTATAGTTACAATACCTGCTCTTCGAATTTCATTTGGTGAATGCAAGTTTGAATTCCCAATGGCCTTTAGTTCAATTGGTAAACCATGACAATCCCAACCTGGAATGAACTCGACCGTGTAACCATTCAGGAGCTTCAGACGCAAAGAGATATCTTTCAAGACTTTGTTTAGTGCATGTCCAGCATGAAGTTCGCCGTTGGCATAAGGTGGACCATCATGAAGAACATACTTGTGTGGGCGAGTGCTGACCAGTTGGTGATCATAGAAAGTATTCCATTTGGACTACAAAAACATTATCTTAGAAGAAAACTTACATTAATAATATTCACATCACTAAGCTTTGGATACACAGTAAACGGAAATCGCGGATTGTTTGTTGTTGAAGTATACACCCCATAACGCCGAACAAAACACTTTATGAAACATGAGAACAGAAATATTTCGTGCATAAGCTTCCTATGTGTTAATTCTGCGAAACAATCGGAAAGAATGAAACAATAAGAACTTCCATGCATCGAAACGACAATCTTCAAATGACCATAAGAAAACAATAATGATAGTGAGCACATAAAACGTGGAAGCACGTGTTGTTTATATTCTTCAGTACTGAATTAGTTTGGCGAATTTTAGTCCACTCGGGTAAAAATCAATGGACGTTTGAGCTTCACTATGCTTAAAACATGGGTAACTTGTCTTCAAAGTAGCGATGGATACAAGACAGTTCGCTCGCCTGAGCTGACAGCATACATTTCATGGCTGGCTGGAGTGGCTAATTCGGAATATCAACATGGGGTATACAGCAACACTTAGATTTGTGAAAGGGAACACAACTCTTCAGACGCAGTATACCATGGTTACGTAGTGAACCATTTCATTAACAAAAGATTTAGTTGGGAATCCATCAAATATTTACACATTGGTGTGCAAATTTGACATCAGAAACGTTTTACTCAGGCTTGTTACCTTTGACAATGACAAAGAATTGTGCAGTAGTTGCAAGAATGAATTTTCAGTCACGATGAATTAATAGGTCTTTGAATACCAAAGCAACTAACAGTATCATGATATGAATCAGTTGACTACCTGCACGCTTATTTCCCGAAATCTTCCCATTTTCCTCGAACGATCACCAACGTCTTTATATAAGTCAATATGAATGATACACCTGGACACTGTGGTAGATTGTAATTACACGTTAGATTCATCATCATACCAATTACGTTACACAGTGAGCATGTGAAACTGTTAGAATTTCACTTATGTAGTAACCGCATTACGTAGAACTTCAGTCATATAAAAAGCAGTGTTTGCATATCTAATCGGTAATAAATATGAAATATTAAGTCTTGAATAAGTGAACAGAATTATAATTTTATGCGCTTTATGTGTAGTTATACGAAATAATACTACAGTTTACAACATGCATAAAACATGCTGCAAATATCAATATATATAACGAGAATATGTTAAAAAAAATAAAAATAAAATTCATGTGTCTAAAATATGAGGACTTGTGGAAGTTGCAGAGAAAAAATTGCTTGAAAAAATAGTATACACTGTCACAATGTATATAAACTCTGGTTACAAAATTCTCAAGATACCAAGGATGCCTATTGGAAAGAGTGCTAATCAAGTAGCGTCAATTACATAATAACGCACTTAAGCTTAATCGATTAAAACAAAGATAAACTAAAAACCAAAAGGATACTTTCTTAATGATTTTTTATCAATTTAATCAAAGAAAATATATTATTTTTGGTACCAACATATTTATCATGTCTGCGCTGTTCTAGGACGATATGTGTCAACTGCTGTCGGTTTTCTGCTCTGAACACTTGTTAGTAATAATCAACCCATAAAGGTAAACGCTTATGCTATCCAACAAATTTTCTACATGTTTGGAATTATAAGTTTTAAAAATGATGTAATGTATTAACTTGCTATTTTGTGAAATCTAATTCTGAACATAAGTTGATATGTGGTTTTTAGCTATAAATTATCTGATGTTTAGAAGGTTAGAAAACTTTCCGAGTTATACAGCATGGTTAGCTAAATTTGAGTGTGTGATTTGCTCTTTATGTTCATGCTGTTAGTGGCTAGACGTCTAGAAACTAGAGCAAGTGGGTCAACAGCGCGTAGAGGCAGTTGATCAACTTTTTCTTCTTCAGCAGGTAGATATTTCACTTTTGAAAGTGATTTGACTCTTAGAGTGCCAAGTATTTTGTTCCGAAGTATCTGATTCTTTGTCTAATACAGTCACTCACCTCTTAGTTCGCGAGTGTTTCGATTGGATAAATTACAAAGAATAAGTGGAAATTTTTAATGTATAAAATAATGTTCTAGGTTGTGTTTAAAAATCTTTGGTTATCACGATTGTAGTCTCTGATGAGTTACAATTGCTTCTCTCTTCACAATGGTACAGTCATTGTTATCCACCTAAGGTTGTCTATTACTTAATCTTCGTTTAGTGTACCTGTTTGTTGAAATTCAGTTACCGTTAACTTGTTTTTTGTGTTTCGTCCTGTGTCGCAACGTGAGGTTTTTATTATATTACAGGTTACATAGGCTAATGAATGGGACGTGGACTGGAGCCTCATCTGAAAGTATAGAGCTTAAGTCACAGTACTTCGTTTCAGTGCAAATTATGGTTAGGGTATAATATTACGTCTTCTGTTGTAATACAAGATCTTTTACATGCTAAGATCTCTTGAGGGATGAAACACCACTGACTTGAAGCTAAACCCCTGGGCCGGTTACACAATTGGCTCACAATGTATTATGGTCAGTCCTCGTACGATTCTCCATATGAACCGACACTCATAAGCTACAGATGCAAGACAATTGCAGTGTCCTATAAAGTAACTGCACTGTGCGAAATTCTCTGGATATAGAACTCTATCTTCTAAAGTATTTACGTAAGATAACATCCACGTTCTGCTAAGGTTACTAAGTTGTCCCTGCCTAATGCGCGCATCTATCCTGCCTCGACTCAATTTCCATATTCCGTCGGCTCCACTGTTGAGTAGTTTCGTAAAAGTTAGTTTCCTAAGAAGCTTTTCTTGATTTTACTATTAGTCAATAGCCACATTAATAGACTCGTGATTTTGAGGATTTTTGGAGGTAAAAGATGATATCTTAACTAAGACCTTGCTAAACTCATTGGCCGCTGCTTCCGGCTTGTGGACAGTTTTCTCTTGCTAGATGGCAGTCAACTTTGTCGATGTAATCTATAGTAATTGTACACATTTTTAAAGTTGAACAGTGTTAACCAATATATTGTGCGTCTCTATGAAGTCTGTGGATCTTATGTGTCACTTCTGAAGGTGCAGACTGCCTTCCTGGAGTTATCAAGATGCTTAATGCTGAGAGCTGGTGTTGAGACTGTTCAAAATCATTCTCAGCGGTACACACCTAAGGCTGCTGGTTCATTGAGTCTTAACTGGTTATTCCCTCTGCCACACTTTTCCGATTATTGTAATTTCACCTCATTTCTCAGTACTTCTGATATGTTTGCATAAAGTGTAGCGACTTAGACTGCTACACTTTTGTGCAAAGATGTGTTGAAAAATTTAGTGTTGATTCCCTGGAACACATATCTCGTGTTTCGTTTCTCGCCCGTTCTGAGCTATTTCACAGAGTTTATCATTTGCATATGTTTAGACTGGTCTCCGACTTCTCTTAAATTTTGCTATTCTCAAGCTTACAAAAATCTAGGTCGTATCACGTACTTATTTTCAGAAGTGCAACAAAAACCTGCATTGTTTGGTAGTAGGCAGTGGGCATCACTTTAAGTGTACTAGTTAACTATTATCTGAAAGCGTTTACTCTCCAGATGGTTTTGCATTTTTCAAGTTGTGCGCAAGGTTTCAGATATACTGATAATCTGGCACAGATACTTGATCACACCTAAAGTGCTTCATTTTCCGTTAGTATGTGCCTAGTTCACAAATTATTAATGGTTTGTGTTCCAAAAAGAGGTCTGTGCAGTATCATACTGAGCTGGGTTTTCACTGTATAACTTTGCATGGAAGTGTATCAGTTCAAGTTTCTATACAATATCATGTTTTGAAGTGAGAAATAATCCACGCCCTACAAAGTTTAGTCCGAAGCTCTTCTGAAAACCTAATGAGGCTTCCCTTGTAAGGAATGCAAAGACGTCATTTATCACCATTTATTACTCACCTTATCATAGTTTCCCCATACTGTGTTAGTTAATATTCTTGGAAATAGTCTAGATATCATTATTCTCTAAACTGTGCAATTTAGTTTATCAGCAGTTATGCCGTGATTCGTGGTTTGGACATCCTCTTTGACTGTTACTCAGACTGGTGGTTAGTTGAGTTACGATCGTCGCTCATATGATAAATGCCTTATGTCTTCTAAAATGACATTTGAACCCATTGTCTAGCACTTGTATATCGACACTGTAAATAGTTAGAAAGAAAATGTTATCGTATCTTGGCAATCTCATTAGCCGATTGTCTTGAAGTTGATGGCTTTGGGCAGTTGACTTTCAGTCAGTGAGTTCCAGAATCATATCGCAGTTCACCTACCTGAACCTTGGTGAGTGGATTCTGTAAGCAGTCTCTATACAATAAGTATGTTTCACAATCTAGTACATGGTCTCACGTTAGTTTTAAGCTCGTATTATTGATACTGTTTCTGCTGCAAATAAATGCAAACATTTATGTACACGGATCGTGTTTGTGCTAACTACAAGTTGTTGGAATCAAGTCTTTGTATAAAGTCAGTAAATATTTGGAGTAAAAGACTAGTGACTGTATTGCTTTTTGTGGCGTTGTGCCTAACTGGTCTGGGTTCTTGACTTTCAACCAGTGGGTCACGGATTCGACCTCCACTCTATCTAAGCCTGGGCAGCCATTTAGCATCAACAGCCCTCACAATATGTTTGGAATTTCGAGTGGTTGTTGAGTAACAATTGAATTGACGGTCTCATTAATTATCCTCTAGTCATGGGTAAACAATAAAATTGAGTAGATCCCGTAGTGGCTGACAGTCAACTGCCATGTCACACTACTTTTTCCTAATGACAATGTCCTTTCCTCTGTAGTGATTTGGATGTAATTAAGTCATTCTACATTAAATCCATATAGACCCTAACTGATGATGTGTATACAAGTGTGGCTTTTCTTGTTTAGGTCACCGCATCGTAAACTACCAATAATTGAAAACGGTTAACAACCTCGTCCGGAAGTTTTACAATGTCGATTTATTTCATCCTTATAACCACTGGGTGTCTCATTTCTTATATATTCACACAAGTTTATTGTTGTGTGTGATAATTAAAGGCGAAAAGGAAATCTGAGCTACAACAGGATTCGAATAATGGCGTTCAAATTACTAGTCCGGTGCTCTAGCAACTGAGCTAAGTAACCCAATCATCAACTGTAGCCACCATGGCTAATAACCAGCTGTCATGCAGATAAATGATAAGTAGCTACCCGTTTATCATGGCACTAGCCACCCAGCTATGTTATTTGTCAATCCAAGTCATACTGAGGTAAAAGAAGAGCATGCTGTCAATCCATGGTGAGACAATCTGAAATAGCCATGGGTTGGTAGACTGTAATTTATTTAATGGGTGATGATTGTAATCGTTAAAAAAATTCTGGTCTCTTGAGGATTCGAACCAGCGGCATGAAAAGTGTGGCTAGTATACTTATATGCTAGCAGCTATTTTTTCTGGGATAAGGCGTTACTTGGAACATTGTTACTTACGTTGCGGTGTACCACCGATTTCGCAAATTGTTGTGATAGGCTTGTACTTTAAATGTATTCATTATTTGGAATTCATTTGTTTTCTGAAACAACGCGTCCCACTTTCGATCTTTTTCACTATTTTAAGCAACTAAAAATTTAGGGATCACGGCATAGTGGAACACAACAGATACTTGTAGTACATTCGTTTAGATGTGGCTAGTCATCTTAACCTACTTCACGGACAACTTGGTAATATTATCAGTCCTAACATAATAAGTGTGGCTCATAACCCAGTACATGAAAAATCCATCCCGCATAACTAATTTTTTGGCCCTAATCCATTTACTATGTAACCTTATAGCCTAAATTCAAAGGTTTTAAAGTGAGATAGAATTTGAAAAGAAGCAATATCATGTATGACAAAGAATTAACGATGCATCTCCTTAGTTATGCTCTGCTTTGCTCTGTCAATCAAGTTTTGTTCTTAAACTGCATGATTTGCTTCTGCCCACTCGACTTAATATTGGCTACTTCGTATATAGTTGTCAAGATAGGCACAGCTTGCCAAAACATTTCATTTTGGTTATGTTTCACAACGCCTGCTGGATTTTCTTTGTCGGAAATGTTATACGGAACCTCTGTTGCACGCAGTTGTCCTACTTCGGTCTTTTATATTAGTCAATACTTTTGATGGAGTCTGTCAACTTGAACTGATGCACTTATGGGCAAAGTTTTACGTTAAAAACTCAATCAGTTGATTTTCTCTATACTTTTCAAAGATGTGCCAAATCACTCGATTCAGTTTTATTTTTTCCCAGCCAGTATGCCTGGCACCTGTGAATACTTCCTGTCGTTGATAACACAAACGTCTTCTCAACATCCTGTTACTTTAAGTCTATACAACTTGGCATAATGTCATTTAGAATCATCTGTCGACAAATTTTGATATGGTTGACTGATGACGACTTTTCCGGTCACTTTGAAACAAATTATCAGTTTACTAATTATAAGAATGCCTAAATCTTTGATAACTACCCCATAACTGCTTCGCTATCTCTAACTTATACTACAGAAATAATTATACAGCAATATTTGACTTACCAGTGTGAGGATAATGATGGTCAATTGGTTAGCCGGGGATACAATGTAATGTAATGTAATAATTAGCCTACTGACTCTATTCAAGATCACCAGGTGATTAATAATCAAAACAAAATTGAACTAATTATATTATGTGAAATAAAAATGGTATTTATGTACAGATGATAATCAAAAGAGTCGCTGGGTAGTTCTGGACAATGAATTTAGGCTAAAAGTACAAGCACCAACGGACTGATTGGCGATGAAATCTCAGCACGGATCCGAAAAGCTCGAGCTGCTTTCGCTGACTTACACCATCTCTGGCGTAGGCGTGACATTCGGTTATCAACCAAGGGACGTGTGTACTGCTCATCAGTTCGCTCCGTCCTTCTCTATGGCTCTGAAACATGGCCAATACGCGTTGAAGACATGAAAAGGTTGACTGCTTTCGTTCATAGATATCTACGATCTCTTTCTCACGTTAGGTGGTTTAATAAGGTACGTAATGCTGACGTTAGGCGTAGTGTTGGGCAAAGAGGGAGAATCAATCGACGAGGCTATAAAGTTACATAGATTGAGATGGCTAGGTCAGGTGCTGCGCATGCCTAACCATCGCCTCCCCCGACGACGGGCATTACTAGCTGATATAGGTGCAGGTTGAAAAAGAGTAAGTGGTGGCCTAACAAAAATATGGCATCAATCCATGAAATCCTTGACAGTTAAACTGAGTCAGGTAGGGAGATGCAGACTCCCGGGTTGGGGCCCTCGGGACTCTAGGAATCAATGGCTGGAGACAATAGGTGACATGGCTCAAAATCGTTGTCAATGGCTAGCGCAGATGTATTCAGTCTCTGTAATCTTTCATATTCCTTTCTACCATTACCCATTCTGTTTCACTCTTATACTTGTCAGACTGTATTGATTCTCTTCACTCATCTTCTTGTCTACCTCTGTGTGCTATTTGGAACGTGGCAACTCGAACTGCTGCACTTTGGTGCCAAGTTCTATGTTGAATCCAGACAGACAGAGACAAAAGTACAAGTTATTGAGTGGCTGTATTTAAATAGTGAGCATAAAGTTTTCTTCCAGTTTACTTTTGAAAAAAAGATATGAAAATAGTGAAACTATTCTTTTATCTTAGATAACAATGCCTTGTTACCGAAGACAGTTATGTTAATCTTCGAATGGTCCCCTAAATCCGCATCTCTTATTGTATCACTGCAAAAAATCATTTCATCGATCGGAAAAATATCACTTAAATGTTTGTGCTGAGTTATTCACATCAAAAAACGCTTACACTTACGGAGTTAAAGTTGTGTCTTAGTGTTCATCTCTAGAATCTCAACATGTCCGTGTTGTAGACTGATGCAGGCGTCCACCTGATGAGTAATAATATCATGTTAATATTTTACTCTGTTTTAAGAATAATAAATGTAGTACATATCTCCTTAACAGATTCATTCTGGCGTTGGATCGATGGCCACTGCTGCCCTGGCCCCAGTGGCTGCACGTCCACCCTCCAGGTCAGACCAGCAGCACAATGGAAATATCCAAGAACCTAGTCGACCTTTGCGTTGGAGAGTAATTGACGATCAACCACATGTTGGAAAATATAAGTTTATACGAACTATTGGCAAAGGAAATTTCGCTAAGGTCAAATTAGCCAGTCATGTTATAACCGGGCAGCAAGTTGCTATCAAAATTATTGATAAAACTCAGTTAAGCCCTTCAAGTCGTCAAAAGGTAATCTCTTTTGTAGTCTCTTCTATTAAATTAGCTTTTCCGAGAAGTTAGATTGATGAAATTATTGGATCATCCAAACATTGTGAAGCTTTTTGAAATCATAGATAATGATAAAATTCTATATTTGGTGATGGAGTATGCAAGCGGTGGTAAGTATTTGTGTATAAAAGCAGTGCTTTTGCTATTTTACGATGTGTTCTTACCGTAAAACCAAACTTGACAAATGTATTTTTCATTTTTTGTCAGTCTTTTAACTCAAATTGTTCTGTAAAGAACAGAAAGTAGTTGCTCATCCCATCGGCTACTCGGAATAGGATTTCGCTTGGTTATACCACACTTTGTTGTTAAGTGTATTTTCATGTATTATTAGTTAGAGACAGCAAATTAGATCCATGCTTTCTTATTTTCGTGCTTGCACGAAGTTCAAATCCTTCTAGTATATGTTATCATTCTCATTATGTAACAAACCAGTTATCAACCATCTTTACATTAACTGTAGGTATTTACCTCGTATACGTATACGCTAAGTAGCCGAAAACTAGGTATTAACGAGTTGCCTTCATACATCAATGTGTTTTTGTCAGAATGCAAGGAATGAGAGAAAAAGAAGTCTTGTTTCCTATGAAAGCACAAAACACCTGCACAAATGTCTGCAAAAATTCGGAAAGGGAAATACCAGTCATCTTAACTTGTCTCAATTAGCAATATTTCAAAAATATTTACTTTTCGGAAATTTTGAAAAAAAACTCAATATTAACCCAATGCTATTTTTTCCATCTCCGAATCACTAGATGCAGCATTTACCATACGCATTTTTGTAATGTTATTTCTGCACATTCTAATTAGTGACTTTCTCCATTGTTCAATGTAGGCGAAGTCTTTGACTACCTAGTTGCACATGGTCGAATGAAAGAAAAAGAAGCACGTGCTAAATTCCGTCAAATTGTTTCTGCTGTACAATACTGTCATCAAAAGCATATTATTCATCGGGATTTAAAAGCTGAAAATCTTCTCCTTGATGCTGATATGAATATAAAATTGGCGGATTTCGGTTTCTCAAATGAATTCAGTCCAGGTACAAAACTGGATACTTTCTGTGGGAGCCCTCCTTATGCAGCACCTGAATTATTCCAAGTACGTCTGTTGTGTGCTGTATTTTCGTTATTTTAAAATGATTAATATAGTTGTCTGTATGTACATGAATAACTGTTTACTCCTTGCATTTTTTAAAAATTACTTTTTAGGGTAAAAAATATGATGGTCCTGAAGTTGATGTCTGGTCACTGGGGGTTATTTTATACACATTAGTCAGTGGGTCCCTCCCATTTGACGGCCAAACACTTAGAGAATTACGTGAACGTGTTTTACGCGGCAAGTACCGCATTCCTTTCTACATGTCAACGGATTGTGAAAGTTTGTTAAAGAAAATGTTAGTCCTTAATCCGAGTAGAAGATACACCCTAGAGGTTAGTTATTATCATTTTTATTTCATCTTAGTTGATGACTCGATTTATTCTTGATAATGCCATAAATTAACCCATAATTGTTAAAGCTTTTCGGAAGAACTGAATTCACTCTTTGTGTTTACTATTAACAGATGGTGATGAAAGATCGTTGGATGAATACTGGCTATGAAGACAATGTATTGTCACCGTATATCGAACCCGAACCAGATTACACCGATCCAGTACGTATCGAAATTATGGTCAATATGGGCTTCAGTCGTGATGAAATAGAGAAGTCTTTAACTCAAGGCAATTTCGATGATATTATGGCTACGTACCTCCTGCTTGATAGAAGACGTTCTTCACTAGATACAAGTTCACGTGATGGTTCAAGTCTTTCTTTAAGGTAATATAACTGTAGTTCTTCCGTTTTCCCATGTGTGTAGACCTTAGAACTATACAGTCCTCTTCACTTGTTTGTATGACTTGAGAATTTCAAAACGTTATCCGCAGAACGAATTTTAAATCAGTCAGCTGATGTATTTATTTTATGTCTTTTGAAAATCCATGAGGCAATTGCTGGTTACTTTCGCATATGAAATGACTCAGCAATTTGATCGTAAAATAAGAGGAATAATATACTAAATTATGACTAACTTTATGTTGTAACGAGTAGTCGGAGCTTAAGTAGTATCTGATTTGTAGGCTGTAGAGTGAAAATTGTTAAGAAATGGACTTGTTACACTAAGCGAATAAATACCATAGTTCGGTCATTTAAACTTGTTCACTTCTGATGCTATGCCTACCAGAACATATCTTTGACAAAATAAGTTACACTTACTATGAGTTTTGGGCACGCCTCTTTTCACCAACTGTGATTCAAGACTCAAAAATTCACTTCATTGTAGGCAACGAAATACCATCAGCAGTCTCTACACTAGTTGTCTACGTGTAAATGGATTTTAAATAGAGTATTGACACACTTTTTCTAACCGAATTGTAATATGTGTATCCCACATTAAAGATACCGGAAGAAATCTCAAACATAAGTGTACACCATTCTTTGTTTTCGCATGTTTCTTAAGTGATACCTCTTGATAAAAGCTATCTTCAGGTGATGATGGTATTTTAGATAATTTACGTCCCACAATATAAACAGTTATTTATATTATTCGCAAGAGTAGAGAATGTTTGGTGTGTTTAGCATTATATTTGAAGCACTGTAGCAGATATTCAAATAACCTAATCGTCAATTATGTAATTACTTATTCTTCTTGCATGGCAAAAGATTTACAGTCAATTTTATTTTCACTTTTAGGCAAAGTAATCATTTGCTTTCTGCTACACCAACTCCTGCAACTGTCCCAGTAATGACTTCTGGTAGTGCTAGTTGCGCAAGTGCTAATGCAGCAAGTGTAGAACATACGTCGAATATCTGTTCGGATGATACTCCGTCCGTCCCAGTCGCAAATACAAATGCTTTATCTATGACTCAAAATGCACATTCAAGCTCGAAATTCGCTGTTACTTCTGGAGGAGGAACTCGTTCTACAAGTACAACGCCTCCCAGTACAGTAACCGTGGTGAATAATGGCACTAATAACAAACCAGCTGTCAATATAATAACACCATGTAATTATACTTTTATTTTCACTTTGTTTAGATGGCATATTGCTATTTTTAAATCTTTCTACCAGAATGTAACTTGCTGTCTATATTTTTGGGCTGAAATATTTTGTTTTAATGAGTCTGCATAAATCTTTGAATTTTTATTCGCAGCATCTGTTTCTGGATCAGAAAGTCCAGGCCCTATGGGTACCAGCACAATAAGTCCTATCTCACCTATCAATTTGGCAGCTACTAACACATATTCAACACCAAGTGGAAATGCAAATGTCAACTTTAATACAGCTCTCAATGCAATTGATACATCGTGTCCATCTAGCAATACTGAATCGGTTAAACTGATGCGAAGTGATCTTGTCCGAGCTTCAGATCGTCCTGGTCGTGAAGAATCTGGTCGAATATTGGCGCGATTACGAGGTATTACAGACGAAATGGCTACCCCAGTTGTCGGTGGTGGTGGACTGACAGCTTATCCAAACGTTCCAGGTCAACGAATCAGTATTGATGCTGGTACCAGCACTGTGCGTCCTACTACTGCTGGTCAAAGGAAACCTGTTCCAATGACTTCAACAGGCTTAGGTACAAATGCAAAAGTTTCACCAAGTTCTAATGTGTCCATGGGTAATGCAATATAATTTTTTCTTCTGTATATTCTTATGTCTATATGGATATAGTAAAATATGGTTAATGTGATGTATTCTAAGTATTTAAATTCTTCCCACTCTAGTAAACCTATTGATGATTTACTCAGTTAAATTTAAAGAGGTCACTGAGTAGTTTAAATAACTCAACTCTCCACATAGTTACCTAACGATACCGATTCCAAACATCTTTGTATATAAATTAACCGATCAACTCTTCATACAAAACGATTATATTCCCATTCAGACAAATGTGGTGTGTGCTACTGATAAGATTTATCAGTAGTATATAGAGAGGCGTTCACCGACATAAAAATATCAAATATCAGGGATATAGATTTGAAATCAAATCAGGTAAATGATTCAGCTTTGCAGCTAAACACGGGAGACACAAAATGAAGGTAAAGAAATAATACGAATGGCAGAATTAGCACAACACGGAAGATCTGTGCGAATAGCGATTTTCATATCAGGTGTAACGATACTAAATTCTAAACATTCTTTTACCAAGTCTCTTGTTGTCTACCGTTACACTTATACGTAAATAAATAAATACAAAGACGAAATACTCCCAAAAATGGGTAGAGCATAAGAATACTAATCCTAAAGCACTTTAGTTTCCTTTCATTTTTTTATTGTACTTATTGGGAAGAATGTGCATCTGTGGCACAGTGGTTAGGACGCCTGCCGACCATGCACGTGGTCCGGGGTTCGATCCCCGACCGACGCACTCCTTTACCTCGCTAAGCCAGGAAATAATGCTGGTAAAGAGGAAAGGTTGGGCATGACGCTAGTAACCCCATCCTGTAAAAAATAAACACTGCTACAGAAAGTTCAAGCCATTTAGCTTAAAGCCTTATGTTCCACTGAGAATGTGATGGAAAAAAATTGTGAAGAACAGTAATTCTGAATGCTTAGCCAATGAAATGCGGCAAAGTGAGAAGCAATCAACTTTCGGTAGGTTAGCTATGTTAACCAAACTAGACGTATCCCATTTTTTTTATGAAAATGATATATATGTGTATGTCCGACACAGAACCTAGTTAGCATCACTTCAAACTTGTTCAACTTGAACAATCTTGTCTAGACCTAAGACCAGTGCCTTTAAACAAAATAATTAGGATGATATTTGGTAAGGGCTAAAATACAAACTGTTTCTATAGAAGAAAATTTAATAGTACAATCAGTTTGAATTTTTTCATGTTTGTTTTACAAGGTATGGGATTGTACTAATAATTATATTTATTCATATAAGTCTTAACGGGAATGCAACATTTATTTCACGAAAAATAAAAACATGGTGCAGTTAATCTACTCAAAAACAATTCTTCCTTTTTGAACAATATGACTAAAACAAGGAAAGCGTTTTATACATTTATTCTATTACAAAATAGCATTATATAGTTAGTGATTTAGAAGACAGTAAGTAGGTTACCGGACATTGACGTCACTTTGAATCTTTTCTTATCATCAGAAATGAAAATAATTGCATAGTTTAGGAAATTACGACACTACTACCACACACCGAGCTCTCAGTGTTGTAGCTTAAGTGAAGAAACTAAACCTAAGTCCTACTTCACTCATTTGATTATCTCTGAGAATTCTGAAAACAAGATTTTTCTTACAATATATACCAACTTTTCTCTTGACAACACTAGTCTTTGTGAGACTAATTTTGTGTGTAAAGTTTCGTTAACAAAAAACCTCAATCCTGTAAACTGAATTATCTTGGTTTCCTTGTTTGTTTGTTTTCTTGCTGTATTAATTCCATTCTCAGACTAATAGTTCATGAAGAGGTATGTTGATGGATGTATCCACTGAACAAAATACTTAGTATACTGCCTATTCCAAAGTCTTGTTTAATCTAATCGATTTTAAGGGAACTATAAATGTGAATGTGTGTAAACTACTAGTTGAGAGCGGTCAACATTCATAACATTTTTTGGTTCTTATTTGATTATAGTGATTATTTTTTCTGGTAAGGTTATATCTTCAACACGGTTGGCTAATAATTCCAGAAATGTATATCGATTCGCTTCAGCGTAGGTTATTTATACTGACTAAGGCGTAAACAAATAATCTGAATATGTAATATATGTATATATATATATATATATAAATTGAGTTAGACTTTGAAATAAATAACAATTAAGGCAGTGTAAAACATGCTGACAAATCTCCTTTTTTATTATTTACAAAGCTATGCACCAGTGACTGAAGTATGTGTCTTACCCTGTGTATCTGTGTATTCTGAGCTAGGTGGTGGTCTTATTGCAAGGCTGCTGTTGATGACTATTTCACTTCATTTATTCAGTATTCCTCACATGAGTACTTCAAAGGTGTGATGCTAAAATTTACTCAGTCTCCAATACTATCAACATAGTACTTAATTCTTATGACTTTTCTTTTGCCTATACAGCACGTCGTACTCATACGCTTAATTACGGTACCACAACCTCAACATCTGGAACTTCTCATACTGGAGATCAACAACATTCCGGTAGACGTACACAAATAAGTTCAAACACCAGTGGTCGAAATGCAGGTTTTGATAGTCCTAATCCTAGAAACTCTGTTGCGCTTTCTGGTATCACTGGTTTATCTAGTGGTCTTCCTGTTTCCCCCTTATCCACTGGCAATTCATCCGATAAGTCTACATCTGGTACTTCAAGCACAGGCGGTAACAATCAGGTTACGACTAATGGAGCTGGGAGATTACCATCTCATGAAATTCGCAGGTTAGTTTTGAATAAATTAAATATTTCATCCAACCACACAATATCGTACTTCCTGTTATGGCTTACTCCATTGCTACATGTTATATCTACGGTTATCTACCAGAAGCTGTACTTGTACTTGAATAAATTTCTCCCATGAAATATTCAACCAAGGGTGGTAAGTTAGTTTAAGTGTGTCGGTTGGGAAGGCTGCATTGACTTGCATTCATTGTATCTACTGAATTTGCGCGCACCACAAAATGCTGGTCACTACTAAAGTTGGTCTGCAAATTTGTCATTTATTCTGTTAATCATTCTAGCGTACTACAGTATACAAACTTGTTCGCAGGTTTTTAATTGTCTTGGATTGTATAAGAAATCCCAGATATTGTACAAACACATGATGATAAATTCACCTGTTTCTAGTTTAAACGATGTATATATGAGCATGTATATCTATATGTGGGATTTCGAAAGCTTACTACTCCTGGCAGCTACAAAAGTTAAACGATGAGACCCTAAAAATGCCGAACCTTTGTAACACAAATCCAAATTATTTCTTATTCCTTTCAAATTATTTCTTGTCCATTTGATATGCATATGTTCTGTTCCTTACTTTTAATTCATATCATGCTAAGATGGTGTACAACCATAAATCAATAAACTACCCCTCAATTCTATAATATATCTGTATTATACAAAATCTTGAATAAAGATGTTCTCATTTCTTCTATGTATATATATGTATAACTGCCATAGGAATTTTTATTGCGTGCGTCAGTTAATCTTTGTGTTATTACTATTATTATTATTATTATACTATTAACACAATGTTTTCTAATAATCAGCAATTTCTGTTTTATGGATATATCTGCTTTTTATTAATAAATAAGAATAATCATAACCATTAGTAGTATAGAGTAGTAGAATAAGTAGAATGAAATATTCTTAATGCTAATCTCTTCTCGCTCTCCTCCTCCTCCTCCTCCCTTCTTTTATCACACAAGTCTTTGGCATTAATCACTACAGCATTTACTCTTAGGTATGCGCACACAGTTTGCAAGACAAAAAAGAGAGAAAATGAAGATTCTCAAGTACACCTTTTTTTGTCTTCTCTATATAAATAAGATGATTTAAACTCCACTAGTATTATATATTGATTTGATTGATGTGTGTTTTGCACCTATAGCATATATATATATATGATGGTGATGATGATGACAATTGATCAAAACGGAGCATTTTTCATGCTGATTATGCATTTGTGTTTACGTGTGTGTGTGTGTGTGGTGGTATTGTCATGTGATAGTGTGTGTGTGTAAATATACAACTTATGTATAAGGTCATTCTGTCTTATGAAACAGTGTTGTGTTGTTTTTGTTCTATTACACAGAGATGCGTGCATGTCTGTGTATCTATGCACACCGACACACATTTTCAAAAAAATATCTATCTATCGATAAATAAAAACTTTTTTCATAAGAAAATAAATCCATATATATATATATATATATATATATGTATAATTAGGTTACGACCATATGTATTGATCACAGGCATAGGGCATTTCATTTATAATAATAATTCCAGTGAATCATAATTGCATTAAATAATGAAGTTCTTTCAATAAATCTGTGCAACTGTTATGATGTGATATGCTGCCACGTATACACTATCTCAACTGAGATCCATTCATTGTTGTGACATGTAGTAGTAGAGTCCTACTTTAGTTACTATTCACAGTTTGATAGTTACAAATATGCAAATGCATATATGTATATCTCATGTATATTACATAAAACAACTGTCAGAGTCCAGCTGCTATGTCAATATACCCCAACTTTCTGGACAACCGATTGGTCACCTTAAGCGCTGTACTTACACATTTGAGTACAGCTCCATAGCTCACTTATCATATGAGGCATAACTGAGTTTCATTGTTTATTTTCTGTTACAATTGAAGGTAATATTTTTATTTGTGCACGACAATTCAGTACAGCGAATCTCCCAGTTGTGGACAAAACGGGTCTTGATTTAAGAGATAAGAGGATATAGCCGTGTTATATTTCATGTGGGTCCGGGTTCGATTCCCGACCGATACATGACTAGATCTTGCTTGAGCGATAGTAAGCCCGGTAAAGAAGGAAAGTTGGACTAGCAATCTCACCTTGTAGAAAATAAAACACCGTCGCTACTGAAACGTTATAACGCAAGGTTGAAGTCCTGTATTCTACTTAGAACAAAAAACAATGAAGAGAATGTTCCATGTAATATTCATGGCAAGAGTAAAGAATAGATACGAAGGCCGGATAACCTTGAACCAGTCAATCAGATATCCCAGCATTACAAATGGATGCTGTTCATAATCTTGGTTGCAAGTTTCACTCAGATTTGGTTTTCAACTTTTGTGTGGAAAATGGGTTGATAAAGAGGACTAAAACATGCTTATATGGATGGATAATGATTGTGCAAGAGTATTGTCGGGTTATTAGTGGTTATGCACTCAGGTGCAACCACTGTTATATGAGGAAGTCTGTAGGAGTTGGTAAGTCGTACAGTATGTTGATTCTCGAAATCAAACCTCCCCCTCAGTAAATTATTACGTATATGCCACAATTGGCTACTGAAGCGACCAGTATCTGCTACAGCCTCAGGCACAAAAAATATTAAAATGTTAACAGTACAGGGATGTCAGCACTGTCGGTATATTGCGTCACAAAAGATCAATAGAACTACTTCGAGGAGTTGGTGTCGTTGTTTATATTGACGAAACAGCACTTATTAAAAGAAAAATGAATCTCTGTGGGAGAAGAGCGAATCATGTTTGGATGTTGGGAATGTACGACACAAATCTTCGAAAAGGGTTTGTAGAATGCATCCCAAAGAAAATTCCCGATGTTTTAATACCAATTGTACAACAACTAGTCCTCACAGATGAGTGGAGAGTTTACTCGTAATCATCATCACTAGGCTATATTCATTATAACGTCAACTGTTCTTCTGAAATGGTGGATCCTATAAGTGAAACCCATACAAATTCTATTGAAGGATTCTGGGCCTACTTGAAAAAGGTATTAGACTGGTAAATGGTTCCCGGAATGACATGGTATCTGGCCACTTAAATGAGTTTTTGTATTGACACTGGTTTGATTTGTCGATGACCACTTTTATGAAAAACTGGGACCAATTTTTTCAGTATATTAGAGATATATACTCTGTATAATCCAACTCTCTCTTCATGTATATATATACACTTTTTTATTAATTAAATGCCACTTTCACCTAAAAGGATCTGATTGGTTGCTTCAAGGTCGTCTGTGTTTGGTGTCCGTACTGTTGCCGTACTCGTGATGAGAAAGTTCAGATTTTCTTTGATCACTCAAATTCCACCCTCACTAAACATTATCACCTATCATTAATTAAACATTTATTGGTATAAAGTTTAAATCCTATTGTAAGTTGGCGTCATTGTTTGTTTAAGACTTATTGTACTGTAATACATTAAGAATCCCATGGATGGGGCATATTTCCACAAAGTTTGCTTTAGTTTAGTCAGAGCAGTGATACAACGCATTACATTACCTACTAAACAGTTTTACTGTATTGATCCTGTTCATGAAAATATATGGCTGCCACTTCATATTAACCCAGTCTCATGCAGTGTTTATAATTTTTTACTTTCAGCCACGTTACTCCTGCACTTGTTCCTATGACCACTCGTACAACTAAAGTACATCATGGTGCAAACATATCTGGAGGAACTGGCGGTGGTTACCATGCAGGTTTATTACTGGAAAGGTCTGCAACTGTAAGTGCCAGTGGTTCTAATTCTAGTGGAAATGGAACATCGTCAAGTCAAAGCTCTTCAACACGTGGTGGAGGTGATTCTGTTGGAACTGGAGATTTACATCGTCATCAAACAGGTCCTAATGCTTCCAGCCGAAGCGGGTAGGTCTACAATTTTTGCTTTAAGGAAACTTTACCCAAGCTATAATCATCTTAAAAAGTGATATGGCATTGTTAACATTTGGTTGTAGACTGTCTATAGTATTCGATAAAGTTAGCCTACTATTCCTTCCTAATTGTTAACATAAGCTTTCGCAAGTTTTATAATGTTTTAACAGGTATTCCTAAAAATATTCATCTCTCAATAATGATTTTACATTATATTTATAGAGTCAACGATCATGCTGCAGCATCATTCAATCGCAATGATTTTACCTATAGTTCACTTAGGTAGGATTGTATCAGTGTTGTATCACACCAGTTTCACTTCACAATAAATAAATTAATAATATGTATATATCACCATATTCACTGCTAATATCTCATGCTTAAAACCACTAGTCATAACTTGTTGATAAACATATTTATACGATGATAATTCCCTGTGTGTGTGTATTCGGTGTTTCATTTGTGTCCATTATTCATTGTATACCACGAAACATTTATGTTTCTTTTTGGATATCTAACAATTAATAGTTGCACAGTATTTCTTTAATTGGTTTATTTGTGTATTGGATTCTTCTTTTTTTTACATTGCTTCACTTTCATTTTTATCAATTCGAAATTATGATGCACACTGTATAATTTCGGTGAATGGCGTATTTAACTATCTTAAAACTACACTTTTGTATATCAAGTGTTAGTACTGGAATTTTAAACTAATTATTGGCTTAGTAAGCAAAATGTGAAGCACATGGACTCTAACATCCCTGCAAGTAACTGAAAATTTCTTATGCTTTACTTAACACATTTCGTTACTAGATGGTAATTCTGTGAGACGCTCTGTAGGTCGTCTGTGTCAGTTAACCGTAGGTACTTTAATATGCGCTCCTCTTACAAATCACAGCTGCGTAATACACTATATAATAATAATATATATGTATGTATCACTATTGTGATTGTATATTTACCTTGCGGAGATGTTGTTATCATCAGCTTCCATACTTATAAATTACTTGTAGACCCTCTATGATTACTTCGGCCAGTTGGAAATCCAGGCAAGCTGTTTTTCACATTTGCTTGGTTCTTTTATATCATAATGTATAATCTTTAATAGCTCTCATCATTTATTAATGTTCTTCACATTGTAACCATATTCGTTGCATGCAATTATGACCAGTGTAATTTTGCTGCTGCGTAAATAATTACTTGCTTGTATTTAAAACTCTTGCTCTATTCTCCTTCATTAATACCACTTTGTTTTCGTTTTTTTGTTTCCTTTCTGTTATTTTTCTTTTTCTCTTTGGTCTTGTCGAAGATAGTAGAGCTGTACACTCAACCAATATTGAATTAAATATCTTTACCAACAATGAGAACAAGTACTCACTTTCAATGGGTTTTTTTTGCTAGAAATCTAGGAAATAGTGAATTACTTGTTTATCTCTTTGACTGACGCTAAATGGTGCTGTCTCTGAACTGATAATTTCTTGATGTCATGTGTTTAGAGAAATGATTTGTAAACTGAATGTCACACACTGAATAATAGTTTTACTCGATGTTCTTAATTTTAAAGTCATTACGTCGTCATATGATCAGAACAGCAGATATAAACAATCCCATTAAGAGGGGTTTGATAAGTTAGAATGTTAAATGCAACTGTGTTTCAATTCTTGCATTGATCAATGATTCACGTCTATTCTGTGTTTCAAAAAAGAACTTTGCGTAGAAATGCATCAATTGAAGTTGCCACATTCCATGTAACAACAAGGCAGAGAAAAGAAATTCAAATAAACTATAAGGAGCAGAAGTCTACAGGATAAGGAATACTAACATATAAAAGTATGAAGATTTAATGCATTCGGTAGATTACAAAGGGTGAATGTATTTGTACTATTGAGAATAGTTTTGAACCATATCACCTACAATCTTCGGTTATTGATTTTCGGCATCCAGAAGAGTCAACCAGTGGAAGCCTACACCTCCTTACTTGGCTTGCATCAACTGTCGAAAACTTCATAGATTGATGCAAGGTTTCGATTTAGCCAACCCCTAACTCTTTTTATATATCAGTTAACATTGCTGGTCGATGTGAAGGTGATCCCAATAGAGGAAGCAGGGTTTGGATTCATAACCTACTTTCTTTATTACAACAAGTTAAAGGTACTTGATAAAAAAACAGAGTCCTATATATCCATTAGTAATATTCATAAAGTCGAAATTTGCTTGTACACAATTCATAACAATGATAAAATCAGAAAGCTCTCTCTTTCAGTTAGATTTCGGTGTTGTTGCAGTAATCATGTGTATTTTTAAATCATTCTCAACTTTTTGTTTTAACGAACCATGATTAGTTTCAAAAAATTGTTTATACGGATACGATTTGTTTTAAGTTTTATCATGGATTTATATCATTTAGAGAGAACCAGTAAAATCCAGGGAGTGCTGGTTTCTTCCTAGTTTGAGACTCACCGGGTCTCTCCGGTAGGGAGGGAGAAAAAACACTCCCCGGTGGTACTGGCTGGTGGTTGTGCTAAAATTACAAATAGAAAGAAGTTAGAATCCAAGGACTGGCCATTGACTCAGGTTCCAGTGGCCGAATACTCTACGAGCTTGCGTTTTAACCGGAAGGTCTCGTGTTCAAAAATCCGGTGGGCGCGTACTGCTGTGATGAGTCCTGACCTAGGACGAAACAGCTGGCTGTCCAGGCTTGAATTACGATTGTTTTATTGTTGTGTAATTCTATTTCACAAGAAATTTTATCTTATTGAATTCTTACATCTGATCACTTCACAAAATATCCCTTTGGCACTCATTAACTTACCAATATTTCTACTTAATCTCATAACAGATTAACAAATTCTTATATATATATATGTTATTGAATTGTTGTTGCAATAATCGATTGATTTGGTTTATTAACTAAGCTAACAAATCTTATACAAATGAATGTTCTTTCTTTTCGGCTAGTTAACTATCCATGTATGTCCAAAATATAGACATACACTTTGCTTTTATGTTTAATCTGCCTACCTGGTGTAAAGTTTTCTCCTCTCTAATGTGTGGACTAATATTATACATACGTGTATTCTAGTGTTTCTACTATTTATGTATATTTAAACAGCTATGTTATTTTAGAAGCTTATCAAAAGCTAGTCAATTCTAATCAATAAATGTTTGACCCTCAACAGTCACCTGTTTTTACTGTGAAAACTGAAACTTTCAAATTCGTTTTCATTCAAACAAGGTTAAAGGTTCAATGTACATTAAATTGTCATGAGAATTGATGATTTATAAAATCAGCTGTTTTACTCAGTTTCTCAGATCGTTTTTTAATCTTTGAGAACTTAGCGATATATATATATATATATTTATCTGTCTATTCAATAATACGGAGTAGAGTCCCCCCATTTCTCCTGAAGATAATCGGGAAAAAAACTTCAGCCTTGTTTTCATCCTGCGAAATCTTCTCAGTTGACTACTTTATTTCAAACAGATAAAATTATGTTAGTTCCTGTTGTTGTTTCCCCCTACATTAATACATACATAAATTTAGAAGTTTCGTCAATTACATACCTCATCAATCCGTGTTTTTTCTTTCTTTGTAATCTGTTTCTTCTCTATATAAATTATTATATCGCTGCTATATGAAATTAGATGTTAACTATTTATGGTTTGTTTTATGTGTACTCCTTTATACTCACTTATCCTGCTCACATTGGCATCGAATTATTTGTGTATCTGCACGTCTGTGTGTATTTAATTATTAGTTATTAAAATTATATCAAAATAATTGTTCGTTGAAATTCGCTATTATAAAAAGACCTAACTCCAATCTTCTGATGCCTTATATCCTGTTTTTAGTTTATGGATATGTGGTTTTCATTCAGTGAAGTATGTGCACTACTGCGTATTTACGCTATACTCCTTTTACCGATCACTTATATTTCATGATAAAGGAATAACGTCTCTTTTTTACACTTTTTCAGAATGGGCACATCAGCTAATCAGGCGTCGTCCATTGCTTCGTCTGCTGCTGCTGGGCGTCGTGGAGTATCCATTACTAGTGCCAACAGTAACACAGCATCTGGAGTTAACAATGGTACAGGAACAATCATGGAGACTACACCTTTTCCTAGACTTACACCAGAACGTCGTACTATTCATTCACCAAATCAACCAAACATTGAATTTGATTTTGATACGTCGAATACAAATCCTGGTAATACTATAGCTGCTCGATGTATGAATGTACCTCTTGCTGGGGCTGGGACAGCAAACAGTAGTGGCATGTCCCATTTAACTCCTTCCGGTACTGGAGGTCTTACATTCTTCAAGGCACTTACTTCCAAAATTGGTAGACGGTGAGATGCCTTGTATATTCATTTTTTTACTTATTAGAATGATTTCATACTTTTATTATGTGCATATGGTAATAAACAAAGTGATCGAAGCTGGTGATCGTATACTTTTCACCTGTACCCAGAAAAGTTGACAACTTTAGGAGTACGCTGAAGTTTTATTGTCTTTCTGTGTTTTAGCTGCCATGATTTGGTTGATGGCTGTGTATCGGTGTGTGTGTGTGTGTGTGAGTTTATGTGTTTGAATTTCTGATGTGATGAGATGTAATGTATTCAAGAGTTTAATGTGGTGCAGAGTAGTGCTGTGGTATTTCAGTTGGTTTAACAGAATGATGAACAGTTGTCATGTGTTTGATATGATATATACATACCTAAGAGTTAACTACTACGTTCTGATTATATATTTTAAAAAAAGTATTCTTCTAGTCATGACCCCTAAGGCGTCCAAACTAGGAAATATTCTTTAAATAGGTAAAATATCTGTCGCTTAACTAACTCTACCATTGTGGGGGCCTTTTGTCCTTATGTTGCTTGTCAAAGTCCTAAAGTCTGAAAGAATTTCTTTGCCAGCTTGATTACGTGTTAGTTTGAAGTGACTGTCTAATCGTAGCACATTCAGATATCATCACATGAATCTTAAGCTTTGATCTCTAGTGCATTGGCTCTTCATCTGAAATATCAAATTCTAGAAGTATTATTTGCACCTACATAATACTATATTGTTAATCTGTTAAACTTTTATTATTCCGAATGGGTGGATATTACGAGAGAACACTGACATTTATGAAGGTTGTTCGTCAAAAGAACGTTGACTATTTACATATACATGCGTGGGAAAAACGAAGACTAAATTGTAACGTAAGAGTGCTATTAGTTTAATATTTACCTGCCTCGTCTTCCTGCATAGCATACCTTGCGCTTAATTTGTCTCCATTTTTTTGCAGTATGGAAATCCTGTTAAGTTTGTGTGGTTACTAGTCATTGTTGCAGTTTAGTTCATATTAAATCCTTTATGAAACATGTGTTAAAAGCTAGTTCGTTGTTCTAGGTAACTATTTAACGTCGTGATTTTTGTAATCTCCTCACTACTGTTAACTTTTGTATCGTCATTTTCTTTCAAACAATAAGATGTATTTTGGTTTATTGTTACCCTTAAAATTGTCTTATTTTTTTCAGAGGACCCAACACAGGAGCTATGGGAAATGTATCTCATACACTCACTGGGGGCACTGACATTTCGAATATACCATTCTCTACAGCCGAATCTAATATCGGAGCTTCTACAACCAGTTCAGGATCAGGATATATACCTGGAGAGTCAGCCTTCTCTGATATTAGCGTACATGGAGGTTATAACGAACCTGTAAGTCAAGCAACTCCGGGTGGTAGTTCTGCAGGTTCTCCAGTTTCTCAAGGTGGCAATCAGACTATTTCACACACAGATGATAGTGTTAACGATCAGACCAAACCACGAAGTTTACGTTTTACCTGGTCTATGAAGACAACCAGCAGTATGTGTCCAGATGATATGATTAAGGAAATCAAAAAGGTTCTTGCAGCAAACAACTGTGAATACGACCAACGCGAAAGATATCTCCTCATATGTGAACACGGAGATCCAAGCACAGATGCAAACGTTCAATGGGAAATGGAAGTCTGTAAACTTCCTCGTCTGTCTCTTAATGGAGTTCGTTTCAAAAGAATTTCGGGAACTTCTATTGGGTTTAAAAATATCGCTTCCAAGATTGCTAATGACCTCAAACTTTGACCGATAACACTTTCGTTCGTCTGTCAATCTATTTTATATATCACAGTACATGATGTTATTTATCTGTGTATACTCAAAGTGCCAGATTGTAGCTATTCATGAAATCTTTTGGCTATCACCAACACTTATGCTCAAAAGTGTGGTAGTTTTTATTCAGCACTTCTTCATGTTTTTCTCCCCAAAAGCTTTGACATCTTTTTCTTGACATGTAGCCCATAATGACAAGTGTTTAATAATTTCGGGTTCACTATTTGTCTGTATGCGTTTCATCTGTGTACGCATTTGTACAGGCCTGATAATAACGCCCACCTCGTTAATATGTAGATGTTAAATTTCAAAAGCCTAATACCATCTGGTTTGTATTTTTGTGGTTATTTTCAACGGGATTATCTTCAGACATGTTTTGTATTCTTTATTTTGCTGAACTTATACACTGAGATGTGTACTCCATTCATCGCACTAATGCCAATCGCATTCGATCGTATATTGTTCTGAAAGTATCCTCAGGATTTGTTATTAAAGATATTCATTTATTTGTTCATTTACCTTATTATATGTGGTTAAATACCTATGCATACTACCTTTTCATTGGTGCTCAGTAGTGAAGATGAAATAATTGATGAAAGTAATGACATTGTCTTCTGTGTCGTATAAATATTTTTTTATATCCTTACTTTTATCTGAATACATCGTTATTGTTGGCAGGCTTGTATTTTACTATGCTGGATATTTCGAGGCAGTAATGATGCGGGGATCTTCTATAGTAAATGTATGTGTATACACTACATGTTGGTTTTCCTATTCAGTGTTTCCGAGCTCTATTCATTTTCATCATTATGTTCTATTCTGTTTTTTTATGTAACTTCTTTCCACATTTCTCAGCCACCTTCATCTTTTCACTTTTACTGGATATCAGCTTGTTGGTTTTACATGTGTATTAATGTTATTATTTTGTCCAGAGATTTGGTATCTTTGACATCTTTAGCCCTTTTCCATATATATATATATATATATATATACGTACTGGCTCACTGTTGTTTTTGTTATTGTTGTTTTATTTTCTGAATACCACCTATTGTTCTGTTAACTTTTTCTTCAACGAGTACAGTAATAATACACACTATCTCTTATTTAGTAGTCCTTTTCTTTTGCTTCAACATATTCATGCGCCGCTTGTTATCAAAAACAATTATTTTCAAGGTACTGTATAAGTAGTAGTAAAGTAGAAGATTCTTTGAATCTCGTATCAAGCATGTCACCTGTTGTCCTTATTTTAGGGAATGATAGTGTATTTATTAGACAACAACACTGTGAATTGTTGTGTTTCTATTTCTTGTAACTTTTCTTTACTGTATGGTCTTTTTAAGTTATCCTAGTATGCATTCATTCGTTCTATGAATAGATTTTGAGGCCTTTAAGCGTTATCATTAAAGGTGCCCTCTCTCTCTCTGTATGTTCTCTAACTGAATCTCGTAACCGATACTAATACACATGACGCTGAGTAAGTAAGTGAACATAAATTATAAATGCACTTTTTTTGAATAGTCACACATATTACTCTTTCATCAAGTGCATTTTTCCAAATGTACAAACCCTATCTTGCTGTTTATACACCAAAACTATTTCCACTGTTTGTATGTCTTGGATATTCTCTTTTATTTCTTGTTGGGGTTTTTTTTACAACACCTCATTGTTAATTTCTAAACACTAGCTTCTACATATTTTTTGTTTTCCATTTGTGATATGGTGATTCCACTTTAATTTAACTCTGTACAAGGTATTTATTTTAAATGTTGGTTTTACACCCTGTCAATCACAAACAGTTATTATTATTATTATTTTTCTGATGATGTTTCGAAGTTATTCTCTCCTGTCCTCCTCTAAACACTCCCCCCGCCACCCCAACCCTTCCCCCTTACCAATTTTGTGTGTTTGTGTGTAGTTATTTCATTATGTGATACCAATAAACTGCAACTCCTCTAATGATGGAGTCTATTTTCACTCTATATGGTTTAGTGTTTCTTCATATCGAGTTCTCTTTCTATTCGTGTGCGCACTTCATATACAATGTCATGCACACACATACACACACACCCTGCATACATACATCACCTGCACTGTTTAATTATTCATCTCTATCTATATTTGTATATGTGTAAAATTACGATTAAAAATGACTTTTTTTAGCGAGTGAAATCAGTTAGCATGAATTGAATGCTTGTTTGTTTATTTGTTTGTTTTCTAAATGGGAAGGACTCATGTTATTCTTCATAGGTTTTCGCCGGTGACTTTTTTGCGAAAAAAAATGAAAATGCAGTTTGTGCTTCCCGTTATTATTGGAGAAGAGGAAGAAAGTAAAGAAGGAGAAGAAGAAAGATTTCACTTATGTCATTATCATCTTTATTTCTTTGTTTGTTTTACTCTCCTGCCTTTCCTAATTGATTAGCTGTGACTAAATGCTATGTGTGTGTTAAACTTATGCTCGCAGAGCAAAAAATTTATATATTTAGTAGGCAGTATATAATAATAATAATAATAACAATAATATTAATAATAATAAAAGGGGATTATCACCTTACCTTAATGGTAATTAGCATTATAAAATAAAGCACTGTTTGTACTTAAAGAAAAATACCCTGTGTTATAAAATAATACATATACATAATGCATATATTTACACTGTTACCATCCAAAATGTGTGTTTGCTTTATCCCTTGTCTTTTTTTTGTTTGTCTTTTAAAACGTTTGTGCGATTCATTTAGTTCAGAGAAGTTGTTCTTCAACTATTATCTCTTGTATTATCCATTTTTAAAAGGCTACATCGATTTCGCACGCACGCACGCACACATATAAATCATCTTGTCCAACTTCGCATTGCATATATATATATAATTCTAATCTTCCATATTTACTAAGATTCAACAACCACGTGATCATTTTAATGCACTTAATTGTGTAGAATTACTGCTACAAACGAATGAAACTAGTGTTTTACAAGTTGACTTCTTTCTTTTGATTGGCTATTGGCTACAGCGGTTCGCAGTTCCAGTTTATGTGACATATTTTTTTGAAGTAAACTAAAGGTATCCAACATGATATATATATATATATATATATATATATATATATATATATATATATATATATATGCAAAAAAGAGTTGATAGGCAAAAAATTTATCTCAAAAAGAAACTGTTGAAATTGTGTCTTTTTGTACATAAATTTCATTGTTGCAGCTGGTTGTAACTAGGACAGTTTAGTGGAAGTTATAGATCTGTGATTATTAGCCATTCTTATTTAATATACGAATTTAATTGCAAAACAATTGAAACCATTTTCTGACGACTAACTTAAACATATATGAGGACACCTACTCACCGATGACACATCGGCTGGTAGTCGCACAACATATCACTAATTGGCAGAGGTTATTCACGAGTCATTGAGTTCCGTTCCAGAGTCTGAATGCTATACAAGTTCTTGGGTTCCATCCCTGATGGTAGGCGCGTGCGGGTGAAGTGTCCCGAATAAGGGCGAAACAGCTGTCCAGTATTGCATGGTTTCCGGTGGTACTTGTATTGCATCGAATCACAATACTTTACAAATTTACCTTCTTATTACTTGTCTAGGATGTCAATCATGATGATATTCCTACATTAAGCGTAATACTCCACAGTGATAATTTCGTCCCTTTCATCACAGCCTGACCTTGTCAATAACTCCTTCTGCTATATTTCTTTACTTACTGCGTACGTATAAACCTGAAGTATGAAGTACTTCAAAGCGAATAATCTTTGGCTATCTGCTCAAGTGTATGTCTTTGGAGCATATAGGCTCTCTCGAAGTACACCAATTCTGTAATATAACAGGCTATGATTAGAAATTTGGGTGACACCATATTAATATTCTTATTCTTCTATAATATTTTGTTCAGTGTTCTTCACTAAAGGCGAATAACTGTGCACAATTATTCAGTTTGTGCTATGTAAGGATGTTATGTGACGTGAGTATATCAAACTTTGGCGGAATAAATAAAAAACATAGTTTCAGTTAATAATGCCTACAAGTCTATTAATTATTTGACTTCTTTACGCCAACTGAAAGAACTGTATTATTTCTAAAATACCATTATTGCGTCATAGAAGTGCTTGTCTAGTCACTTTGTGAAGAAGTGTTACTTCTTGATATAACTGTCCTTTGCTGAAACTTTTTTTGAAAGTGATTGCGTAACTGTCCGGCTTATTAAGCACGCGTAGCGCTAACTTTTGATATGCATAGTTTTCATTTGCCTTCTAACAATCGATTTTTAAGGGCTAGAAGTAACTGTGATCGTTGGTCCAGATAACTTCAAAAATTAGTAGCGTGCATTAAAGTTGCCTATGCTTTATTTACTATATACTCCATTACTTAAAGTTTCAGTTGCTGTCGTATTACATGGTTCCTGGTGGACGCATTTTTTGTGGGTTTATTTCTGAAGATGTAGCCTAACGTGTAACGACTGTCAATTTAGTGGTCCCTTCCGCTTTTCATTACTAATTAAATAAGCTAAAGTAAAAGAGATTGAGGATTTATGTGTAGACACGTAATCACACAAAACGTCAACTTTTCCAACCAAGGGAACATTAGCGAATGAGGGATTTGCTTCGAAAGGATACATATTTTATTTTTAGTGTTATAATGATAAAGGCAATCGGTCACCTCAAAATATTTTCCTGAATATATAATTATTTTTTGATCGGATCCACTAGCCATTGAATAAATTTCTATGTCGGTGACCTACTCCATTGACATCATAGGATGATTGACTTTGTGTATTTCAGATAAACGATACGATGTGGAAACTCGCATTCGTCTAGCTACAATGAATCGGGCTTCATTCGGTCCCCACTGAAGTCAGGGGTGCACACAAATGAGAAGCCTCAAACTGGTATGAAACACCAATTCAGTGCTACCTAGTTGTTCATTGATTCTCTAACTGATGTTGGTTCGTGGCGAGATCCTTAAAATTAATTAGAATACCTACAAAACTCATTGTTATTCAGTTGGCAATTTTTATTTTAAGTAAATATAACCGTATAGGCTCATGAAATGATTGATAGCCAGATAGTAGACGGAGTGGTTGTATTTTGGTGTTGTGATGTAAACGCGTAGCTTTTGCCGTCCTTCTAGCCAACATCAGTGCAAACTTGACTATGAAGTATGTATCGGTGTTCATTGGTAGAACATATACCAACCGCTTACTTGGACCGGGTTCTATTCCCAACCGGCGCATTTTTAAACCACGTTTAACCGGCATAAAGACTGGCGAAGAGGAGAAGTTGGACATGACGGTAGCAATCATACCACCGCTGCTGGAGACTTCAAGTCCTATTGTCCAATCGGATTGCAAAGGACTTGCAGTATACCAGACTCTTAGATGGTAATTAGTCGAAAAGCAGTAATAAAACACGCTTATTTAATCTATTCACTCAGTGCATAATGTTAAAGCTCCTATCAAGATGCTTTTCTCGCGGAAGTTGGTGCAATTCACTCCTTGGGGTTTAATAAGCTCAAAATATTTCGTATTATATTATTGTTATTGTCCCCTAGGGTTCCTAGTGGAACATGTTGCTTCAACTGCACGTACCCATTTGCTTCTGCCTTCCTTCTGTTGTACTTTTCACCTGCACCCATCTTAGTCTATACTCGTTCAACTACTCTTCACACGATCTCCTCCATATCACCCTTGCACCGGTGACCCACTCGCCGCTTCCCTTTCGGGTTCCACTGGAGCAATTTCCTGACACGCGCGTGATGTCACCCAGCGGCCTCCTCAGCGAGTGTCCAATCCGTCTCCACTTTCTCCTGCATATTTCGTGGGCGATTGGCTCTTGTTGTGTTTGTTTGTTTATTCGCGTAGTTTCTTGTTGTTGATTCTTTCTGGCGCGGCCATCTGATCTTCAGTATAGAGAGAAGACGGTTGTTGATGAATGTCTGCAACAGGATGTTGGAAATATTCTTTGTAAACCGCCCGCCAAGTTTCTGATCCGTATAGGAGAACTGACTGACTTGACGTTTCTATTGAAAATCCTACTGGATTTTGCTGTTGATGCTGGCTGAGTGACGAAGATTGCCAGATTGGTTTCAGTTGGCTGATGAATGTGCTTCTCGCCTTCCCGATTCTCGCTCGATTTGACATCCTCTTGCGTTCCTGCTGTAGTTGAGACAATGCTCCCTAGATAAGTGAATGAAGTAACCTCTTTCAAATCCCTCCCGATGATGGGGATTTGCGCTGGTGTTGCTGCTGTTGTTGGTTGGTTATTTTCATAACCTCCGTCTTGTCTATGTTCACTTGGAGTCCTGTCTTTGCCGGCTGCTTCTTCGACCAGTTTGTCGGTTTTCGCTTGTAAGTCTTCGATTTTGTGTGTGTGACATCAAACATAAATCATCCACGCGCGAAATCCACGTCTTCTAGGTTGTTCACGTCGGTCCAGGATATCCCTGTCTTCTCGTTTCCCATTACTGTCTGACGCACAATCCAGTCCACCACAATTAGTAATATCATTGGTGATATCAAGCACCCTTATTTGACTGCTGTGTTTACTCCAAACGCCTCGCTGAGTTTTCCGTTGTGGACCACTTGACATGTGCCATTGTTGTACAGCTGTTGAATAAGGTTGATGAATATTTTGGCGCTGCACGCCGTAGTACTCGAGTAGTTTCCAAATTACTTCGCGGTCAACGCTGTCGAAGGCCTTCTCAACGTCTATAAAGTTGAGGTACAGGTTTGATTGCCATTTGGTCAGAACATGATTTTCCTTTCCTGAATCCAGCTTGTTCTGGTCGGAGTTCTGTCTCCAGTGCGTCCTTAATTCTCTCCAGGATGATGCGATTCGAAATTTTACTTGGCGTTGACAGGAGCATGATCCCTCGCCACTTCTTGCAGAGTCCTAAGTCGCCCTTCTTTAGTACTTTCACGACGTATCCTTTCTTCCAGTCAGTAGGCACCTTTCCCTCCTTCCAGACATTTTGCAATAATGGAGTCGGCATATCTGCTGTAGTCTCTGAGTCCGCTTTTAGTGCTTCAGGGGGTATTCCATCTGGTCCAGCTACTTTTCCAGCTTTCATAAGCTTGATTGCATTCAAGACTTCAGCTCTCGTTGGAGGATTGGTGTCAACTTGCATTTGTGTATGCGCTGTTGTTGGTATTTCTGGACGAGTTGCAGGTGGTGGTCGGTTCAAGAGTCCTTTGAAGTGATCCGCCCATTGTTTAATCTGTCTTTCTTCCTTGGTGATTGGGTTCCCTTGGCTGTCTTTTATAGGTTTCGCTTGTGTTGATCTCTTCCCGGATAGAGATTTGGTTATCTGATATAGTGTCCTCAGGTCCCTTTTGCCTGCTGCCTTCTCAGCTTCAGTGGCGAGGTTGTCGTAGAATCGTCTTTTGTCCTTCCTAGCAGTCTTCTTCACTTCTTTGTCCAGTGCTTTGTAAGTTGAGCTCAGCGTCTCCTTCTCCTCTCCGTCCTTGCATTGAATCATTTTCTCTCTCACCATTCTCCTCTCTTCTATTAGTTTCCAAGTGTCCGTTGAGAGCCATTCCTTGTCTTGCCTCCTCTTTCTTCCTAGAACCGTTGAACACGTTTCGTTGAGAATCGCCTTCAGAGACTTCCAATGTTCTTCCAAGCATGATTCTTCAGTGATGTCGCGTAGTGTTTCCTGCTTTGCTCTGACAGTTGCAGTGAAAGTGTCCTTCAGTTTTTGAGTGTTGAACTTGCATTGTGGCCTATTCCCAGCTATCCTCGTGGCTTTTAACTTCACCTTGAAAGTATTTTGTACCAGATAGTGATCTGAACCCACATCTGCTCCTCTTTTCGATCTTGTGTCCAGTAGACTCCGTCTCCACTTTCTTGAAATTGAGATGAAGTCTGTTGGGTTCTTGGTGTTTCCATCTGGTGAAATCCATGTCGTCTTGTGTATATCCTTGTGTTTGAACACACTGCCACCAATCACCAAATCATTGAAGGCGCAGACGCTTGAGAAGAGTTCACCATTGTCGTTCATTTCACCGAGGGCCTCGCGAACCATGGTGAGTTCTCTTCCTGTGTTGTCTCCTCTCAGCTTCGCATTCATGTCGCCCATCAGG